GGTGTCTCACAGTGGATTCGAACCCAGGTCGCTCACACCAAAGGCATGTCTTATCCAATTAATTAATATTAATTAATGACAACAATAAAACCGAACGCAGTCATTGCTAGCTGTGTTGCTAATATGTTCACAAGCTTCAGAAGTTGCAAATAACTTTTCCCTATCATTGTTTTGTAATAATACTATACCCCGCAATAATACTATTTAAATACGAACCCTATGTGTTCTGTGTGTGTTAAATGTGTTTCATTTAACACACACACGCTGAAGCACGTGTGATGCTCGAGCTGTTTATTTGCCTAACTTATATGAGGACATGACTGCATGAACTTCCTCGAGACACACTTAATTCCGGCAGGTTCCATAGTGAGTGTGGCGTGGGCAGAGAAATTTTGGGACGCTGCGGCATATTACGTATTATAAATGTTTTTTTTTAGCGTGAGAACTACAATGTGTGTCGGGAGAACGTGACAAAAGACTGAAATGAGTGACACTTGAGAGCCTTGCAACTACTTTTACAATAGACTTTTTTTCCAGTACCTCCAAATAGTTTAGCTAATAAGTTAGCTTACGTGTCGCCATCATACACATCAGCATAAATGCCCCTGATAAATGACTTATTAAAGTATTAACACATAAACCGCACTATTATAACATTAAAGCAAACAGGCTACTGCGTGCATGGTTTGGCGTGACTGAATGCGCGCAAAGTGCGCTCCTTTTAATTCCTAAAAAGTATTCCTGCTGCAAACTAATATTATACATTGAAACTCTGGCCTGTAAATCGTTTCTATTTAGTATTAGTTGCTCTTGGCACTTTTCTGCAACAGATAAATTAAAATGTATTAGTTTTTATGTTTTATTCATAGATATTTCTAGATTGCAGGAGTCTCGCGAATTGTTTTTTTCTCCCTCAAACACATCACTGGACAGCATACGTCCTAAAAAAAAAAAAACTACACTGAAATGACATTTCATACAGCTAGCATCTGCAACAGCGGCCTACGTGACCAACGCTACTTCCACTACTTCCTTAGCAGCAAGACACGCAGTAATGGCTGCACTGCTTTACTTCCATGTCTCGACGGATTTGTGTATAGTAATAGCAGTAAATTATGTGTAATCGCATGTAACTAACCCTAAACCAAACCCTAATGCTATAGTAAGTGCATGTTAATTCATTTTACTCCGTACTTAAATGTATAATTACACTGTAACAAGAACACCTTTAAAATAGTGTTATACAGTTTTTTAATACATGAATTGCCATAGTATTTGTGCAAAGAAAAAAATATGCTTATAAGTCTGCCTGATGTACACAGGTACGTGTTGTATTCACTGGATCTGTATAACGACAGCGCACACTACGCTCTCACAAAGTTTAAAAAACAGTTCCTTTATGACGAGATTGAAGCTGAGGTAAAACCCTCTTGACCTTCTACATTCATTCTAAGAAAAATAGTTAAATCAGTTTTTGCATTTTGCATTTAATCTTCTTTAATGTTCTTTTAAGTGATTTTGCGTCTGGATTTTTTCTTCCTCTCAGGTGAATCTTTGCTTTGACCAGTTTGTCTACAAACTTGCTGATCAAATTTTTGCCTACTACAAGATTCTTGCCGGAAGGTAATGTGAACAAATATGAAAAAATATTTCTGTAGTAATGTAAGTTACTTTGGGGATTTAAAGTATTTTTTATTTTCTGAACACGATTTCTCTCTGTAGTCTCCTTCTGGATAAGAGACTAAGAGCTGAATGTAAGAATCAAGGTGCCAACATCTCGTGGCCTTCCTCCAATCGTTACGAGACGCTGCTCAAACAGAGACATGTACAGGTAAGAATGGCCACGTGACTCTTCTGTACAATTATATATTGATTTCTGTTGATCAATGTTGTTCTTAAATCCGCTCATCTTTTTTGCCCTTTTCTCTTGCAGCTCCTTGGACGATCAATCGACTTGAACCGCCTGATCACCCAGCGAGTGTCCTCTGCGCTTTACAAATCTCTAGAGCTGGCCATTAATCGCTTTGAGAGCGAGGACCTTACTTCCATCATGGTAACTTATCCTTCAAATGCTTTTATGGAAACATGTCATTTTTCTCTTACTGAGACCTTGAATTTGTTGAGCTTGCTGTGTTTTTACTTGAATTTGCCTGTTCAGGTTTTCTAATGAAAGGCAGGTTGCTTTGATAGCAGAATTGAAATTCAGAGCAGCAGAAATAATTCTCTGGCTCTGCCAGAGAGTGAATCGTTTTATTAATATTTGCTTCCTGTATGTGTGTGTGTGTGCATGAATGTATAGGCATTGGACGTCTGATTGTGACGCATCATTTTAAAATGCCATGAAATTGTTCTAAGGCTCATTGATTTTCATACAAATTGTTGTCAGAAGTCTGTGTGTGCTTAAATTATATAGATATGCATTGTGTGTGTAAACGTCAAACGTGTGAGGGCTTTTTTTCCATTGCTCTTTCTCTCTTTGTCTATGATCAGGAGTTGGAGGGTTTGCTGGATATAAACCGGATGACCCACAAGCTCCTCAGCAAGTATTTGACACTAGACAGTATCGACACCATGTTTCGCGAGGCAAACCACAACGTATCTGCACCCTATGGCAGAATCACTCTCCATGTCTTCTGGGAACTCAACTATGACTTTTTGCCCAACTACTGTTACAACGGCTCCACGAACAGGTGGGTCAGCCCATCACCCTCACCCCCCGAAAAGACGAAATATAAATGGATAGCATTTTAACAGCTATAATTATGTAGACTTACAGGGTTCAGCTGTTGCAAAATATATTAATTCATCCATATTTCATCTAAACAGACGTAATTGAGATTAAAAATCTAATTGCATTGAACATTTCTTTCATCACTTGTCAAAACACCAGACGCCCAAGACACTTAAAACAAGACGGAGCATTGCTTTTATCTTTAGTTTTAGAGAATGGTTAATTATTGAGTTATTTCATGAGTTATTGATAGTCAGTCTATGCTTAAATGTGAATAATCAAAAGATATGATTGAAATGTCTGTTTTATTTTAACCAGGAAAGGACTGTTATGTTTCAGAAGTGTTTTTCCACTCTTGTACACCGATATTTGTTTGCAGCTTAACAAGTGTGTAATCTGCAGCAATTTGAGGCAAATCAATTACCTTTTTAATATTTTTTTTTTCTGTGAATTGAGTGTTTTTCTAACTTTTGCTGTTATGTCCATCACTTTCTCTATTCTCATATCTTTTATTGTCCAACACGGTCATTTTACAAGGTACACTCTGACCCAAATATCAAATATGACAGCAGAGAGAAAAAGAAACAGCTTTATAAGGATCCATAGTGAGGTGGGAAATATTTCTATGACTAAATTGTGAGGTCTTCAAGATGGAGTTTATAGACGTGATGTAGGCTGAATGTGGGATAAAAATAAGACTAGTCATCTGTGCACTGTCAGGTTGAGGTGGCTTTAAAATTTTGTGGCTTTTAGGGGAGCTGTTGATATTTGAAAAATTCATCATAAATGGAGGCGTATAAAAATGAACTAACACCATAAGGGTTCAGCTGTTGTCTCAATGCAACTGGTAGGAGGATGCCATCCCTGCAGGTTACGTCTTTATAAGATTTCAGAAACTATATTAGCTTCAGCTTGGGATGCAAATAAGGTACACAAAACACACTGATGCCACTTCTCGCTTGCTCCTGTTACATTTAACACACAGATACAATTACTTTAAAGCTGCAGTCAGCAGTTTTTCCTCTTTGTCGCCATCTCTGTTCAAAATCTGCAATTGCAGTCATTCGCAAAATTATCAACTTTACGCGAGTTGTACTTGCACCCTTGACACAGCGTGGATGAACACAATGTTTGAGGAGAGTGTTCAGCTGTCGATCACTGCGCCGGTGTCGATACTGGCATTCAGAATTAGAGATTATTCTTTTTGGAAGTATGACCAACATGATAATTTTCACTGGAAAATGTCATCTGAACTAATAAGAAACTGCATCCACCTTTCTGGATCCGCCATCAAATTGATAAGTTAAATTATATCAAATGCTGTGAGAAAAGGCTATAAATCTCCACCTCCAGTATCCACACTCGCAATAAAGCCTACTAGCCGAGACTCTTCTTTATGTGTACACAGATGTGACGCAATGACGTAATGACATGCTTGAATCTCCCACTGAAATCCAACAGTACCACTGGATTTAAAAACATTATTACATGCTTACCGCTTTGAATCGGTATTTGAAGGCAAGCAGAGAGTTTTGAACACTAGCTGGTGTATTTTCTCAAATATGTATTTTAGATAACTAGAACAGCTATTTGTAGCCCTTTTTTTGTCTTTTCCCCTTAGAAACATGTTCCTCTGAAAGCTTGTCTGATGACTTTTTCCAGTGTATTGGTACTGTGAATGGGGATAGAGTGTACATGCTGAGTGCACCCTGATTGAACAGAGATGACAATAACTGCATGACAAACCCAATAATACAAAAAATGGTCAAATAAATTTTTTCCCCCCATCTCTTTTAGATTTGTTCGCACCGTGCTGCCGTTTTCTCAAGAGTTTCAGAGAGACAAGCCTCCCAATGCCCAGCCACAATACCTATATGGCTCAAAGGTGGGTTTGAACGAGCTTAAATATCTCACCTAGATCAGTTACATTTCCATTGTTCACAAGCAGTTACAAAATGCCTTTCACAAACTAACATACAGGGAAATCTTTTTTTATTAAGCAAGATAGATAAGTAGGCAAGGTACATTTCAAGCAGAGAAGGATATCAACAGACTGTCAACTCACAGAGACATTACAATCAAAAACGCGTAAATGCGTTAAAGCTATATATTTATACGTCAATTAATTTTGTCTATTAGAAAATCATATTTCTTTAAGCATAACATTTTTAATTGTCAAATAAGAATGATGAAAATCATAATAAATATGATTATTATAAGTATTTAAAAAATAGGTGGATTTGTTTCTATTATAAATTATTACAAAAAAAAAAAATCAAATAATCGGAGGAATTTTTTTTTTTTTAATTTAACATAAACCTAGATGAATAAATTCTTATAATGAATGCATTAACTCGTGTTTACAAATTTAACCTTATTAGAAAGGTATACCAAAACAGTGTGCACCTTAAAGTCCAGTACAGTGTAAGCCATGGGGCCTCCTTTAGGTTTTCTTGGTTGATTAGCTAATGATGTTGTCAACATTTAAATGCTAATTTAACCCCATCAGCCCAGCCCAACTGCCTGAGCCTCATTTCCTCAAAATGCCTTCAAGTTCATTGTCCTCATTGTGTAAGTTGTAATAGTTTGAATTTTGGGGGCAGTATATCACATTTGGCTCCCCAGTTATTTTGACTCGCCAAATCTGTGTTTATTACTTTGTGTTCGAAGTTCACAACTCTGCCCTTTTGCCATTTCTCTGCCATGCTCGACTCGAAAAGGATTCTCGATCACCGTTGCGTTCTGAGAGTCGTCCTCGCTGCAACCGGGCATATATAGATTTTTTCTTCCTTCACTTCCCATGTTTCCATCCATGGGGGTCAGAGGCAGATGTGGATGGTTCGGACCTGGCTGGTTTCCTCTTCCTGGGTCCCTCTTTGCTGGACACATGGTGTGGAGACATCCCCAAAGCAGAGCCACGGCAATGATTAGCAAGAGAATGCTGCTGGCCAGCCAGACTCCCATCGCCAACTCCCTGCCGCTCCCCCCGAGCTCAGTGTCTGCATCTAGGGTACTAAAGACCTGGCACTGCTCTCTGGTGGGATTGGCAGACTGGCAGGTGACACAGAGGATGTATGTGGTCTGAGGACTGAGGTCGCCCAGACTGGTAGACGTCTGGCTCACGGGAACCCTGTCCTCGCGCAGGAAACTCTTGCGCGTGTAACCCATCAGAAGGCTGTTCCAGTTAGGGTGATACATGACGCTGTAGAACGTGTCCACACAGCCTGGAGAAGACGGCCAGCTAACGATGGCAGAGGTGGCGGTGACGTTCTGAATGGTGATAGGCATGTTGAGTATGTCTTTTAGGTCAAGACTCAATCTCTTATGTACACACAGTTTGAAAGCTGGTTTAAGACGACATGCAACGATTTTGAAGAATCTAAAAGTATAAAGGGCAAAAAAGCATTGATTCAGATCATTTCGGTCCTTGAATATGGTACAAAAAGGCCCTAGTAACTTATCAATGGGCTTGGATCTGGCATAAAACATGTTCCTAGAGAATTTTAAAACTTTTAATCAATGGTTTCAGAACTGAAATAATGTTTGAATTGAAGGGCTCTGTCAAAAGGAAGTAATCAGTAACATTGATTATAATAGATGGTTGAGAATGGATTTAAAAAAAACCTGCAGCTTTGCTATGAACGCTTTTTAGCCAATTGCAGTGGTCAATACATTAGTATCTTTTGTCTTTCATATTGTGATAATTAACATTGAAAATGGTTGAGTAGGTTACACAAGATGGCTTTTGTTATGGTTCTATCCTTTTGTCATTTCGGTTTTCTCTTCCATTCAAGTACAATTGCCCTGCACTAGCATGGTGTTAGATAAAGCAGATTTATCTAGTGGGAAAAAGCACCAGGTTATTGAGTTTTTTTTTTTTATCCGCCTTGATTACATTGTATCTTTTTTTTTTTCCCTCTCCAAAACTATGTATCAAGGTATCTGAAGCAGGATTATGTGAATTTCCAATTGACGTAACATCCATATATCCCCTTGCCAAGAGAGAAGCTCTTAAGGGATTCTCTCTCGAGTCATTATAATTGAATGGCATTACAGCTCAATAAATATAGCTTTGAGGTTAAAATTATATAAATGTCATGGTTTAACAAATAAACTATGTATTTAGTGTCCACTGTTTTAAGAGCGGCCATTGATTATGCATGGTCAAACACTGATTCATGGTTATTTTATTATATACATTTTTAATTTCTATATTTGTAAATTTTTCCCCTGCTTCAACTCTCAGAAAGAGCCAGACATCTCAGGATATTTATCTTTGTCTTAAAATGTGAATTAGTTTGTTCATAATAGTTGGCATATTTTGTTTCTCTTGCTGCTCATGGATTTAGTTTGTTTGAAGCCCATAAACTCAATCAATAAATCACCACATTGGGCTTGTGTGGATGAGTGGTGGTGAACCTTTATGCTACACGTTCACACTGTAATTACTCGGCAGTCAGCAGCACTGTGTGAAAGCTTGAACACTAATCATTTTAATCTTCCAGAAGCACACTGTCAATAACACTCAGACAATTCCCTCTTGTCTGAGGAAAGCAGAGTCTATATTCCCTAGATCTATCTCTTTTCAATCGGTTTCAGATCTGCATAGCTGCTAAAGATTTATCTTTAGTTGTATTTTCAGACAGTTCTTAAATTAGTCTTTGACCATTCTTTACAGGTAATCCACACTTTAAAAAGTCTAAAAGAGACACAGGTGTGTCTGGAAAAAAACTGATATTGAGAGGTAAAGGAGCAAAAATCCTACCTTAAGAGATAAGAGGAGTCACTTCATAGACCGATCGTCTTGCTGTTGCAGACAGAATCCCCCTGAAGTATGAGAGTGTATTACCTGTAGCTTTATGTTTGGCATGGCTCACACATCCACACTGCTGCACAGAAAATCTCCTCTTTCTGATTAGAGCAGCAGACGGTACATAAAGCAGAGAGAGAGAGTGCAGTGGGGAGGGAGGAGGCGGCGACACATCAGTGTTTTGCGTAGACTGCATTTAAAACAGAATTACAGCTGGGAGAGTGTGAACTCTCTTGCTTGTCCTCTGTCTCTTCTGCATCATTTCTCCCTCAATCATTGGAGGAACATACAGCTTTTTTCCTCCCCCACTGTGCTTTCAATTACTCCCTCAGACTGGTGACCTGTCTCCTCTGACTCACTGCCACAACACCTACGGACATGCATGCTCCTGCATTGATGATAAATCTTTAATCGGTCAACATAAAAGGACTGTTTGCTAATTCGAGAGTTGAGAAACAGAAGGAACTTGTTTCTTTCCAAAAAAAATTTTTTCTTTAAAAACTGTTATTTTATTTTAATTTTAGTAACGTGACACCATTAAAAAAAAAAAATCATTGGCATGTTGTAAAGAATGTTTAGTTTAATAGGTCTAGTCCTTGAGCAGACTGATCTCATGAAGTAGCGTGTGTATGACACGCCAATTCGTATTTCCATTTTTGGGCGTGCTATCAACACGCATAATCGCTTTTCAGCGTGATTATGAACGCCGTTGACTTAACGTTATTACTGTATATATAAATAAATGACTTACCTCAACCCTGTCCCTAAACCTAACCGTCACTGGGGTTAATGGCATTTATGAGTGTTCCCTTACCATCCTAGGAAAGAAAAACATAGCTCCCCAGATGTAGATGTACATTTTGCTTTGTTTTGGTCGGACATTTGACGGAGTGTACGGACACGCGGAATGACGCGGACGTTAATGGCGTAGAAATACACGCATACACGCGGATAGCTCAAAATGCGTCGAGATAACACGCCACTTGACTCGAAATTGGCGTGTATGTTTACGCAAAAGTCATGATGTCATGTTGCCTTGAGAGACAATTTCGAATAAATGTTGAGATTCATTTAGTGTGTGTGATTTGTGTCTGTATGTGTACTGTAGATTTGCTATGTAGTTCAGGCATAAGTCTGTAGAGGTGCAGGCTAATAGGTCCTTTACATGCAATCTGGAAGCAATCACATCATTAACATATGGAGAAAGCTTATTGGTCTCTGCTGATTCTGTAGCCAATGAGATTGCTTGCTTATTATTCAAATAATCTGGTTTAGTGTTTACTGTAGACTAATTCTGCAGTGCACTGTCAGATTTGCCCTCTGAAATCCTCCACCTAGATCTACTTCTATGGGATTTATGTGCATATTCCAGCATGTATATGTATGTGTGTGTGTATATATATATATATATATATACGTATATATGTATATATATGTATATATATATGTATATGTGTATATATGTATATATGTATATGTATATGTGTATATATATATATATATATGTGTGTGTGTGTGTATAATACAAGCCACAGCTGGTTCTGAGCTGTGTTGTTGGGTATGAGCTACAGTGATCAGAATCTCTTCTGCTATTACTTTTTTACATAGACGCACACAGAGTTGTTATTAAACTGTGCCTCAACATAAACTCTTCAGTTTTGCTCCATGCATATCATGTCATGTTATTTTTTCTTTTTTTTTATGATGATTCAGGCCTTGAATTTGGCTTACAGTAGCATATACAGCCTCTACCGGAACTTCCTGGGACCTCCGCATATTAAGGCTATTTGCAGACTTCTGGGATACCAGGGAATAGCTGTGGTGATGGAAGAGCTGTTAAAGGTCGTCAAAAGCCTGGTACGTGCACGAGCATTAAAATTAAAGTTTGTGTATGAGATCTGAGGGCTTTTGCAAGACCCTAGACATAATCTATTTTTAATCCGCTGCTCTCAGATGTGTGAGAAGAAATGCATGTTTTTTGTATTTATGTCCGACCACGTTCCTAGAGCCTTCGAAGTGATGCCTTAATTTGAGTGGATTTAAACTGTACAACACATCAAGTCACCTTTAGTTATATAGCGCTTGATTGTTTTAAAACAGCTTTACAGTGATAACATGAAAATGATTCAATGATGCAAACAGTTTATTTGGGCTGTACACCAGCTCTAAAAGAAATGAGTTTGGCGCTAGCAACAAGCAAGTTCATGGGTTCGATTCCCAGGATTGCATGAAATGATACAGTGTATACCAAATTTCTAATTTCATGATGCATCATGTCATTTATAAAGAATCTTACTTAAATCAGATCATTGTTAGAGCAAACTTTTTGCACCACCAATCTTTCTTAAAGGATAAAGAACGTCCTTTTCAGGATGTGTTGGTATTAGTAAACATTTGTGCTGAAATCACCTTTTCGTCTTGTTCTTTCCGATGCAGCTTCAGGGCACCATCCTGCAATATGTGAGGACCCTGATGGAAGTGATGCCCAAGATATGCCGTCTGCCTCGCCATGAGTATGGCTCGCCAGGTGAAAATCACATTCCTAAACCAGCCTTTTATTTTCTGACCCAAGAGAGGAGCTTTGACCCCGAGTAAATATCGTAATAAGCACTACATTATTAAGCTTTGGTAAGACCAATCTGCTGCTGAGCAGATTGGTAGTCTGCAGTGTCATTCACACATTGGTGCAAGCAGAGCTTGCGCAGCAGATGCAGTTTTTTTAAGTCATAGTCAGACTCCTCTTGATTTGAGATGGTTTAGTAATTGCCTCTCGCCATCTTTCCCTCTCTCTTTGTTTATTACGTTCCGGGTGACCATACTGAGAGGGTGCACTCCATGCTGAAATCATGACTGTCTGATTGTGGTCTTTCAGACACCCTGGAGAAAAAAAATAAATGAAGTGGATGGAGTAGAGACAGAGAGAAAAGCAGAGGGTATAAAAACGGCAAATGGTCTGTAAATTATGTAGTCAAAAGCTTCTGCTTGTAAGTTTAAAACTTTTTTGGCAGGAACCGACATAACAAAAGAAACGATAAAGTAAACTTAAAAACAGTCGCTATAGATGTTTGTGGCTCTTCAGAAATTTTGAAGATTAAATATTATGGGGATTAAACCACAGAATTTGGATGCAGAAATCAGCATTGAACACCAAAACATGCATGCACACACACTCATATATATTAAGGCTGCCAATAGATTCTCATTTTAATTGTGATTAATCACACACATATCATGAAATCGAGCATATACCATTTATCTTGGGTGATTTATTTTATTACAGTATCTTTGTTTACTAGAGTACTTGCTAGGGCTGAACGATGTATCATTTTAGCATCAATATCGCGATGTGCGTATCCACGATAGTCACATCGCAAGGACTTGTGATGTCAATTATAGGGATCATAGTTGATCCGTTATTCATGATCAGTAGGCTACGTGCCAGCAGCTACCCGGCCTGGTAACGCTTGTAATTCGCAGATTAATTGCAAAGTTTAACCATCATAGTGTGAGAGTTTATCAATTTGCAAGTCCTGTCAGTTTAAACATCAAGCGCAAGAAGACACACTTTTTTCTGTCAGCCTTACTAAAGCACATTTTTGTCCCGCCAAACCGGTGAATGATGTAGATGACGATGAGGGATTTCTGCACTCGTTTTAACTAAGAGAGTGAAAGCCCTGGTTGCATGTGCGCACACTCACACTGTCTTCAAACTGTCTTGCTCTCTCTCCCTCCCTTGCGCATATTAATGAATTGAGATGACTGAATATCTTTGACAATTCATGATGGTAAAAGGTTGGAAGACCAAAGTACCACCGGTTGTGAATTGTGCTAAAATAACATTGCCTTATCTTCTCTAAATCTAAAAGCGTTCCACACAATTAGATGACAAAAAAAAAAAAATCTATCCAGTGATGAAATGTTTTCTGTTGACACAAATCTTGTGCGATGTCCGAACCTGCCTGGATAATCGCACAACGTGTGCCGTGGTCCATTAATGGCACGTCCGATTCGCCAACTAATGACTCATTTGAACCGATTCACTTTAATGAATGGTTAAAACAACTTATCTATCCACCACTGAACTCAAGAGACATAAATCGGAAACACTTTACAATAAGTTTCCATTTATTAAAGTCTAGTTAACTACATTCTATTAATATTAGTTTCTATGTGGATTTACTCCATTACAAAACCACCCCAGTCATTCTAGAATGATTGATTCTTTCCAAATAGAGCTATTCGATTCATCTGGAGAAATAGCTGTGTATATTGCGGAAAAATAAGATATCGCAATGCCATTTTTATATTCGCAATGATATTTTTACCAATATCAATACCAAGCCCTAGTACTTGCCATTTTTTTTTGTGTGCATTTGACTGTTTAGACGCGTATCCGATGCCCAAAGTAGGTAGCCAAAACTTTTCTTGTCCGTGTTTTGCTCCGTCTTGGACCACTTACACAGAAAGGCCCCTGAGGAACAGTGCGAGTACTCTTTCACATGTTAATATGCAGCTTTATAGCACGTGCTGCACGTCCCACAGTGGACTGCTTTTTACAGCTGAGCTCACGTTATAGGATTTGACTGATTTGGGCCATAAACACACCACTTTAAATGAAGAAACAGACTGTGGCAATTCGCAATTTCACGTGCTTGTGTAATTTGTTTGCATTAGTTGTGTTAAATAATTTTAACGCATTAAAGATTTTGAATTAATTACGTGTCAACGCAATAACGTTGACAGCTCTAATATGAATAAATATAAATTATGTGCAAAATAGGTCTAGAGGAATACTTTTTAAGATACTTCAACATTTCCTAAAACAAAATGAGGCTGTGTAGTAAACTTTTTCTTCTAAAGTGTTGGAAGCGAAGACTTGGAGACTTGGTTGTATCTTCTTAGGCAGGATTCTTTATTTCTGTTGCATCAATGTAGTCTGCTTTGTCCAGAAATCTTAGCCAAGTCTAACTGAACTAAAATACAGACTGGCTTTATACACCTTACAAGGGGGAGGAGTTACATAGAGGAGGGGACTCTTGAACAAAACATGTAAATGAAAGTACATGATTCAGCTGGTAACAGTGTAACTTAGAACCTTGAGATGCTAATCCAATCAGGCCTACTGACCTTTGAAAAGTGACAAGAGGTTAAGTTCGAAACCTTGATTGCCTCAAAATGAAAAACAGTGTGTGCACTTTCTCAGTTTTTATACTATTGAATTGGAACCTAAATGAAACATTTAAATTAAATATGTAATGCTACACTGT